AGCCTCCTTGTTCCGCTAACCACGACGCTCTGCCTCCTCTGCCTTTACAACACTAACACTTTATGGCGCTCTTTCCTCCCTGCCTGCCTGCTGGAGCGACTTTAATGAAAAGTGAAATCCTCACGGGGCTCTCTGATCGGCATGAGAGGCCAGCGAGTTTGGAGTCTATGCCTCTGTTAAATGGATAGTCTTGTCCCTTGTGAAGTGATGTTCTGTTGATAGTTACGACTTTATGTCTGGTGACATCAGTCGTAGAGCACAGAGTGAGCCATAGGAGGCAAAAATCCTTTGTCCAGTCCTTGATCAGGTGGTTGGGAGTCTGTGGGCTAGACAGGGTGAACATGCAGATACATTCAGCTTCAACCTCCGTCTATGGTCCGCACACATACATTATAGAATCAAGGACGTTTCTTGGTTGAGAAAACATCAACAAACTGAATGGCGTCATGCGAAAATGCTAGTTTTATATTAGCTAGCGGTTAGCGAATAGGCTTTTTTATTAGCCCATAAAACAGCAGGTCCTCATTTGGTTAGCTATTAGCCTAGCTTCGATTGAGGCTACTGCCCTTTCTCCGTACTCTGTGCTCTTTGAATGATACGGTACGAACTGCTGATAACTATTTGTCAAAACATCACTTTAAAAATGACCCATCTCTTTAAGGTCAAGCTTGTTTTCACTCTGGCTTTGTGTTTTTACGTTCAGGGGGAGTGGTGTTGTGCTTGCAGGTGTTTCTCCTCCGACACAGGGCAATATGGAGGTCGCGCTCTCCCACAGCAGAGAGCAGCGAGGAAGCTCTGTCCCCTTCAGGCACAGTGACAAGAGTTCATCAGCAGTTACATCTGCAGTGGCATTTTTCTCCAGTCGGCTACACATCTGGGTCTCCTCCTCAGACGCACACACACGTTCAGCATATGTGTAGAGGAAGAGGCGGAAACCAAAGGCATGAAAGGCCCTCTGCCCATACTAAATATAAGTCAGGCAGGGTTTGCCAAAAGCACTGCTTTAGATTTTTCCTTGTTTCTTGTCTGTTATAAATTAAAGCCTGGTCCACAAAGCTGCTGCTGCAGAGGCTGAGGCTGCACTGCCTCCCAGGGGGCCTGCACACACATGCACGCTTTTTAAAGCAGTCTCCTTCGAAGTGTGCAACACTACTTTTAAGCATCAGTAATTACTGTTCGCTGCCGAAAGGCGAGCGGCAGGTGATAAGGTTTTGCCCGTGTCTTTGTGTGTGCAGGGGTTCATTAGCAAAGAAATCTCATGAACCACTGGTCTGATTTGAATGAAACTCAGAATGCAATTTAATGAAACTCTCAGAATGTACATCTATAACCAATTAACTTTATGAGTCAGCTCGATACAGAATGTCTAACACAGTCAACTGAGTTTAGAAATGACAAAAATAGCTAAAATGCAGTTTTACAAATACTGAGCTAAAATCTACAGTGGCCCTGAGGTGTAAATGAAAAACATGTGAAAAAATGGAATTAGATTAAGCCAAAGCAAAAGTAGCCGAAGCAGAAGTGGCCAGAATTACATTAGAAAAAACTGAATTACGTTAATTCCATTTTGTTCAAATGTAATTCTGTTTTTTCAAATGTTGTTGTGTTTTTGTTGGTTTTGTTGTGTTTTTTCAAATTTTATTTTGTTTTTTGAAATGTAATTCCGTATTTCTCAAATGTGATTCCGGCCACTTCCTCTTCGGCCTCTTCTGCTTTGGCCACTTCTGTTTTGGCCACTTCCAATTTGGCTTAGTTTAATGTAATTCCATTTTTTTCAAATGTAATTTTTATTTTTTTTTTTCCAAATGTGATTTCGGCCACTTCCGCTTTAGCCATTTCCACTTTGGCCACTTCTGCTTTGGCTTATTGTAATTCTGTTTTTTCAAATGTAATTCCATCTTTTCAAATGTTGTTGTGTTTTTGTTGGTTTTGTTGTTTTGTCAAATTTAATTTTGTTTTTTGAAATGTAATTCCATTTTTCTCAAATGTGATTCTGTCTACTTCCACTTTGGCCACTTCTAATTTGGCTTAGTGTAATTCCATTGTTTTCAAATATAATTCTGTTTTGTTCAAATGTAATTCCATTTTTTCAAATGTGTTTTTGTTTTTTTTGTTGTGTTTTTTCAAATTTAATTTAGTTGGTTTTTTTTTGTTTTTTTTTTTCAAATGCTCATTCTCACCTCAGGACTACCATAAAAATCTGATGTAGTGGCTTAATTTTACTGGGTGGAGCTGCAATGCAAAGACACACCGTGACCCTAGATCATTAAATCTTATAGCTCTAAATTCATGACAAGTCTTAGATTCTCTAAATTCCCACTCTTGCTGAACTCATGAATGGCTCTCAGAAGGGGTAAAGTGTGAATGAAGAAAATAAATTGGACCCTACCCTGATTGTACCCCGTAGCACGGCTGCAGGCCGGCTGCTGCACGCTGTTTCGTCCTCTGTCCGTCTGTCTCTTTTGACGGAGAGGACAAACTGCTTCACTCCACCTGCCGGCAGCATCACAGCATGTCTCCCAGCATCCTTCTGCCTGCAGGTCTCAGCCATTAGGCGTTGTCACAGGTTTCAGTTTTTAACGAGCCCCACGCTGATGTGGTGGCTGGGTGGTACTGAGAGCAGCTGCTGCACACCCTGCTGTCTCTCAGTCAGAGACAGCTATATTTAATCTCTCTCTCCATGTTTAATGAAGTCAGCATATATCCGTACAGCCGCTTGATTACTGTCAAATGATGCAAAGAAACTAAAACTTTTTATGAAGTTTAGACAACACTTAAATGAATAAAACATAAACGGAATTAAAAAGAAGTGAAAGGCAGTGCAAATGTTTAAAGAATCAGCAGCCACATAAAAATAATATTTCAAATATTTTAATATTTTCAAGCTTGTGTTGAGACTACCAGATCCTTCATGATGTCACACTGCCCTCTTCTGACAATGTTGCTTTTTACAGTTAGTTGGACTTTTTTTTGCTACAAATCATTCAGTACTCACAGCTCTTCAAGTGCGTTTAAGAAAAACAAACATTTTAGTGACGTGATTAAATGAAAATGATTAGATTTGTCTTATTTAGAAGAATTTTTCATTGTAGAAAAAAATGTATAATTATGCTTTTTTTGCCATATTTATTTGCGCTACGATAAGCCTGATCATAGTTTATTTCAAGTTCAAGGTTCAAAGTTCTTTATTGTCATTCTCATCACATGTGGTACATGAGGTGGAATGCAATTGCGTACTCAAGGTTCCAGTTACTCCCAAAAATAGCAAATATAAGAAGTATATATAAAAAAAAGAAACAGTATTCAAGGATCTAAGATTTGAACAATAATAATGTTATATATCCATCCAATCAGGTCATATGGACCATTTCTTTTTTATAGAGACGTTTCACCCTCTATCCGGAGGGCTTCATCAGTCTGAGGAGTTCCAGTAAACTGTTTCCCCATCAAGCAGTAAACTCCTTAAGTGGACCAACCAGTTTCCAGGAGCTAAGATGGTTTCTGGGGGCCGTCCTGTCCCCCGTCGACTCCTCCCAGGCAGGCAGCCACAGCCAAAGTGGTTCAAGGCAACAAAGTTCATGCTCAATCATCCAGGTGTCAAATCCAATAATTCTCTATAAAATCTAAAAATTAAATAAATAATAATAATAATAAAATCTAAAAATATAATAATTCTCTATAAAAATAAAAATAAAAAATATCCAGATGATCTGACTGAGAATTATTGGATTTGATACCTGAATGATTGAGCATGAACTTTCTTGTAATATAATACAATGTATTAAACTGCAGCCTGAATATTATACTTATTTAATTATAGTACTGAAAGTAACATTATAGAAACAGTGATTTATATTTAAATACAAATGCATCCTGGCTATATATATATATATATATGTATATAATATGATTGACAAAACATCTTCTTCTTCTCAGTGGCAAAAGGTTTGGCAGCTTAAATGTGGGATGAAAAGGATCTTTCTTTCTTTCACTTGAGGCTTCTTTTTTTTTTTTGCTTCTCTTCTTAAAAATAAATTCAAAGGGTGAGAATAAGTCCCCCGATGGTTCTCTCTGACATTCTCATCACACATTGTCATTCCCTCTGCAGTTGCCATATGAAGAAGTCTGCTGAGTTTTCTTGGACAGTTGTCTGGTGGTTTGTTGTTTAGCCATTATTGTGCTTTAGTTTATTAGTTGTTGGGTTTTTTTACATTAGGAGAAGAATTGTTCTCAAACCAGCTCACAAACTGTAAAGGTAGTCTCTCTCCGGGCTGCAACTGTTTACAACAAATTATAAACTGTGTTTGCAAGTGAGCTTTCAAATTGCCTTGAAACATTTTGGGTTGGTTCTCAGTTTTCTCACGAGTCACAGGGCCTCAGTCTCGTATTAGTGAAATGTTGCACAAGCTTAACAACTAATAAGGACTTTCTTTTTTTTTTAAATAGTCATAAAGTCATTACAGGCATCTGGAGCCTGTCTCAAATTTATCTTGTTTTTAAGATTTTTGACATGTTAATCTGTATGCAAGCTCCTGGAAAATTGTGGCACAAATGTCACTGGTTTGTTTCAAATGTGTCATTCAGTGAGATTCCAAGTGAAACTTTGCATATTATTCGCAATTTAGTGTCACCAACTCTGCCCAGGCAGATGCAACAGTGGGATGTCTCATTATTGTTGCTGATGATGCTCATCACTGTTGTCTTCAACCAATTTCATGGTTTGTGCGGTGTTTAGCAGCAGTCCTGCCTGTGACAGCAGAGTGAAGAGCAAAGGACTGAATACACACCCTTGAGGAACCCCTGTAATCAGAACAATGGAGCAACACAGAAATTCTGAGAACCAATATCTAGTTCTTCTTACAATGGCCTTCACTTCGGCTCTAGTAGATCAAATTGCAGCAACTAACTTCTTAAACACTGAGGGTTTGCCTCAAGATCTGAACACCTCTTCGTTATTCTTTAACCCAAGTCTGATGATCACGTTTGTTTCTAACCAACAGGATCCTGGACTTCCGTCGGGTTCCTCCTGTCGCTGGCAGGCTGGTCAACATGACCAAGGAGATCAGAGATGTCACACGAGATAAAAAGCTCTGGAGGACCTTTTTCATTTCACCAGGTACATCATGAACTCATTCTCACTTACTGGAAAATGTGTATAAGATGAGACTACTATTAGCTCCAGCGCAGATACTCCACTCTATTATACATCACTTTTGGTGTTTTTCTCATTTGTAGTCGGAAAAAAAAAACCCAGCAGAGATGGATTTTTGTGTCAGATGTACAAATAATCCCCTTTTTTATTTTATTATTGTTGAGCTGAATACCTGTTAAAATTAATTTTAACAAGGGGGCGTTACCAGCAGCAGTTAATTAGCAATGCAAGGTAACTTTATATAATGTACATGTGGAAAATTCTCCCAGGATTCAAACTGCAGTCTCAGCAGTTGATGCAGGTCAGTGAACGTCCCCTGGTAATTTTAATCATGTGGGTGTATGTGGGGCAGATGACAAAAAGATTGAAAGTAGTGTAACTAGAAGGTGGCTCATGAACACTTGTTACATAAAAGGCTTAGCATTCCTTGGAAGAATGCATGTTGCCCGTTTCCTTTAGAGTTACAGCCATTTTGGTAGTTCTTCCAAATAAGAGTAAGAGTAACAAGATCTTGCGCAGTCCGTTTGCACTCAAAGTATACGTTGAGGGTGGCCATAGTCACTTTTGTGCTACTTGTTTTGTACTATTTGTGTTGGCCATGTTGAATTGAGTTGACTCCAAAACTTAATCAGTTGTAAAAGTACATCCAATGATGACTTTGTGATGGTTTCATTAAATTGTGCGCAATGGTTGATGAGATATTTTGTTAACAGACAATGAGGGTTGATTCCAACAAATGACGCCAAAGTTCAAGGCAAAGCTCTTAATGGCAATATGTAGCACATAAAGATTGTCTTACGGATGACTTTCAGCTACTATAAGTATAATGTTTAGCTCAACATCTGTAAAACGGACGTACTTAAAGACATTTTTGTGTTTTTCAAAGTCAGTTTGCAACAGTAGCCATCTTGACGTGGGTTGACTTCAAAAGATAATCAGTTGTTGATGTCCATCTAATGAGTTTTCTTCGGAAAGTTTAAGTAAAATTCGTCCAGTGGTTTATAAAATATTTTGCTAACAGCCAGACGTGGACTAAAATAGGTAATGGGGAATTTTTAAACAGATCTTGTGCAATCAAATTTTGCTCAGATTATAAGCTGAGAAGAGTCTCAGCTTTTATCACCCTGGATTTAAGCTCAATATCTGCACAGCTAACTTAGTCACAGCCGATCGTGTGTTTTTTAAGATCAGTTAGCTGTGGCGACCGTCTTAAATTAGATTTACTTCACAAGCTAACCAGTTGCAGCTGTACATCCAGTGATCAGTTTCTGAAAATTTCTTTCAAATCTGTCAAGAGTAGTATCAGATATTTTGCTAACAGACCAACAGGGTTGACACAAACATTCACATCCAGGCTAAAACGTTATCGTCCGCCATTCTCCTCATAGCAGCGGATGATAAAGTAGTCTCGTGTTTACGCGCCTTTTCTCTGACCAACAGCCAACAACGTGTGTTTCTACGGCGAGTGTTCGTACTACTGCTCCACTGAGCACGCTCTGTGTGGGAAGCCTGACCAGATCGAAGGATCCCTGGCCGCCTTCCTCCCTGACCTGGCCCTCGCCAAACGCAAGACCTGGAGGAACCCGTGGAGACGCTCCTACCACAAACGCAAGAAGGCCGAGTAAGAGCTGGATCCTGCGCTGCGTTCACTTACACTCCGTAAAAACACTCACAGCGTAGGCCAGGCTATTGAAGGGTATTTATTTAATACAGTAAAAGGCTGAAATGAAAAAAGTAAAGCGCCACAGAAAAAGTAGAAACAATTGAAATGTTATGAATGCATGAATTCTGATTCAAACCATCAAACTCTTCAGGTGGGAGGTGGATCCTGACTACTGTGAGGAGGTCAAACAGACCCCGCCGTACGACAGCGGGAGGAGACTGCTGGACATCATGGACATGACCATCTTTGACTTCCTCATGGGTACGTTTGATGTTAAAGCTTCATCCAAGATTACTGATGTCCAGGGGTGGAAGTAACAAATTACAAATACTCTACTGGACATAAGTAGATTTTTGGGGTACTTGTACTTTTACGAGCATTTCTTTCAAGTGTGTTATTTTACTCGTACTTAAGTATAATTTAGACCATGGAATCTACTTTGTTACTTTTAAAATCAGAAGTCGCTACTGAGTACGGCCACAATTTGAATTAATATTCAAACCGTTCATCTGCATCTTTGTAGCCAATAAGGCTCTCAGATCATGACGTAAGCAAAGGACAGCTCTGTGGAGCAGAGAGACATTTATGGACAGAAGAGCTGGACAAAAAGCCAAAATGGAGACAGAGAAAATGACGAGGTAAAGGCTGAGGACGAGTGTCCGTGGTCGTACCTGGAGGAATGTTTCATGAACAGAAAAGGAGACGGAGTAAACTTTGTTTGATCTCTACACTGACAGCAGCTTACAAGACTTCATCTAACCTCAGAAAACATATTGTGGTATACAAGGTTTCACAGCTACCTGTATGATGTTAAATTTTATTGTTTGTATGTGTGGGTTATTAATTTAGCAAAGTATGCAAACATCTTAGATAATGTCGCTGCCATCGGTTTGTCTGGTACTAAAATAAGACGGAGCTTCTGAGCGTCTAAGAAATATTAAATGTAGCGATTATATACAGTAAATCAAACTGAATGTCTTCTGTTGACAACACAATGAAATATCAATTGGTAAAAAAAAGTATTTAATACTCTGAGTAGTTTTTGAGAAGAGTACTTTGTACTTTTACTTAAGTATTTTTTATAACGCCAGTACTTTTACTTGTAATTGAGTGCAATTTAAGCAGTGTAACAGTACTTGTACTTGAGTACAAATTTTCAGTACTCTTTCCACCTCTGCTGATGTCAATATACAACATACTGTTTGTGTTCTTCTTTTTACAGCAGCATGTTTTGAGTACTTTTCTCTGTTGATACTTTTCGTCTGTGTTTCCTCACAGGAAACATGGATCGGCACCACTACGAGACATTTGAAAAGTTCGGTAACGAGACTTTCATCATCCATCTGGACAACGGCAGAGGGTAGGCTTTTTGATTCCACCAACAACTTCTGGATATTTGACTTCCCTTCTGGGCAGAAAAAGTAAAGTACCTGCAGGATACGGCTTTTAGGCAGAGTCCACAAACTTTTAACGGTGTAGAGGTCGGGGCTTTGAGCAGAGGCTTAACGTTCCTCTGCCTCACTGTGGAACCAGTTCTGTGTTTGGAATCAGCTACTTGTGTCCAATGTTTAACTCTGCAGCTGCAGGTGACATTGAAGCAGTCGTTTATTTCTAATTTTCCATCCACTTTGGCTTTTTGTAGCACACCAATTCCACTGAATGATCCTACCACCACCATGCTTGGCAGTTGGTCCAGTTTGTAAGAGTTCAGTCTCGCTTTGACTCCTCCAAACATACTTCTTGTCATTGTGACCTAAAGCTCAACCTTCACCTCCTCTTAACATGAAAGTTTTCCCAGAAGGCATCTGGCTCGTCCATCCAGCGTGAAGGTGTCCGTTTTAGAGCAGAAGCTGATTCTAATTCTCACCTGATTCTTGTTTTTAAAAATCAGTGAAAGTGCGTGTTATTTAATCATTCAGCCTGGGAAGAACAATGGAAATTAGAGGAATTGCATTTCCTGCAAAAATGCGGTGTGAATTTGCTGAAAAACAGCTGAAATTAGCAACAAAAAAAGCATGCTGAAATGTAGCTAAAATGGAAAGACAAGCCTAAATTAGCAGAAGGAAGCAGAAAGAACACATATTTGCTGAATTAGGTTTGACTATGCAGAAATTAGCATAGAAATTAGGAAATTAGCTAAAAAAAAGCTGAAATTAGCAAAAAAGTGCTGAAAGTAGCTGAAAAGACAGAAAGAAGCTTAAACTACCAGAGGAAAGCTGAAAGAGCTGAAATTGCTTTAAAAAATGTGGATTTAACTGAAAAGGCCAAAATTAGTCTAAAACAGCTGAAATAGCAAAAAAGCTGAAACTTGCAGAAATCAGCTGAAAGGAGCATAACAAGCTGAAATTAGCAGGAAGAAGTTAGAAGAAGCGCACACGTAGTTAGCAGAAAGAATCTGAAAGTAGCACAAAACAGCTGAAAAAAACAGCTGAAAGTAGCTGATTTTTTTATTTGCACAAGGAAGCAGAAAGAAGCTGAAGCAGAACAAAATGTGAAAGGAGCAGTAAAAGGTTGTAAACACATCTAAACGTATGAAGGGTGTAAAATGAGCTCAGTTCATTTTCTATGAGAATCAAAGTGGCAGAAAAGGCTATAAACATTTCAAAAAGCTAAAGTTGCACCAATACCAAAAGCCGAAGCACCCTTCTCCTGAAAGAGCTGAACGTTTTGATTTGTGAGTTGATGAAATAGCACAAAAACTGTGGAACGAGAAAGATGCTGAAAAATGTACGGAAGAAAAATGGATCACAATAGTTTATGAACGTTCAAATTATTAAAACAAACTTTAGACCACAACTGTTTTTTTATGAGCATAATGCTAAATTAAAAAAGCTAAAAATTAAAAACTACAAATATCCTTCTGTTTTTCAGCTTTGGAAAGCACTCTCATGATGAGATTTCCATCCTGGTGCCTCTGACTCAGTGCTGCAGGTAAAGTCTTCCTGATGTGGGCTGATAAGAAGGTTCTGATCATTATACAACCCTAAAGATACAATGAGGCTACTAAAGGTTATGAATTTGACCCAAACCATTACAATTTATCTTCTTTCTATTAGTTTTGACCACCTGACCAGCAAATACAGGCATTCTGCTTTAGTCAACACATTTTTATTTTTTTGAATCACTACTTTTTGTGAGCAGAGTGAGGAAGTCCACCCACCTGCGCCTGCAGCTGCTGGCCAAGGAAGAGTACAAGCTGTCTGTGCTCATGGCTGAATCCATGGAGCGGGACCGACTCACACCCGTCCTCATCCAGCCACACCTGGACGCCATGGACAGACGTCTGCGCCTGGTCAGTGTTTCATCCTCGCTGATGCTAGTCGGGCTGTTTGTTAAAGATGATTTAAAAAAATGATGAATATATGACGTGGATCAGTTGGTAGAGCTGTTGGCTCTCAGCGAGAAAACCAAATCCCGGCTGTGGACTTTTCTGGGTGGAGTTTGCATGTTCTCTCCGTGCATGCGTGGGTTTTCTCCGGGTACTCCGGTTTCCTCCCACAGACCAAAAACATGCATGTTAGGCTGATTGGTAACTCTAAATTGTCCCTAGCACAGTGACCCCCGCGACTCAAAACGGAAGAAGCGGGTAAAGATAATGGACGGATGGATTAATATAAATCTAATAAACACACTCTCTTTTGAAATTGGAAATACCCTCCATCCGTCCGGACTTGAAAAAAAAAAAGCAACTTGGCGTTTTTTTTGTGTAGCTGCATCTAGGCGTTAAAAAAGTCACTAGCAAAAATAGCGGTGCCACATTAAAATGCAAAATGTCCACCACCATAAAACCCTTCCATCCCTATCACTTGAAAAAACTATGCTTCTATTTTTTTTATATTGCTTAAAATTATAGTTTCCTCAAATGACTGGGGTGGTCAAAGATTAATCTATGGTGGCCAGGGCCACCACTGGCCACCCCCTGGCTCCACCACTGTGCCTGGTAGTAGATAAATTTGCTCTCTCTGCCCCCCAGGATCCGTCACACTTTTTATTCAGAGTGTTACTTCTAACCACCTGAATATCGTGCACCAACACCGTGAAGGTAAATTAAAGGTTTTAAATATTTCAGCTTGTCTAAAGCAGAGTCTGCAACCTTTTTGATCAAAACAGCCATTTCTGTCCATTCACTAAATAAAACGTCTGGAGCCACAACACCTGCTACAACTGTGATTATCAACTGATGGCCCACGGGCCACTGAGTTTGTTGGAAGGGAGCATTTTTGGGCAGTGGGGGTGACTTTATAAAAATAAATTCATATCATGAATTTTAACATTTATTAATAATTTTACATTTTAAGACAAAAAAAGACAATATCACGTAAAGAAGGAACATAATATAATTTACACTAATTTTGATAAAAATTAAAACACTGAACTCGAATAATAAATAAGTATTGGGTGGGGCTGAGGTAGCTTGGTGGCCACACCAGCCCCCGTCTTGCGAGTTCGAGCTTTTACTAGTAGTTAACGGGCAAAAATGAAAGAAATTTGACAATAAAACTTCCAAAACTAGCCTTTTCTGTTGTGGGTATAAAAAGCAGTGCAATTAAATTTCATTAAGTTTTGGTCAAAGTTTCAAAGAGCCGCAGATGAGGGACTAAAGAGCCACATGTGGCCCCAGAGCCACAAGTTGCAGACCCCTGGTCTAAAGGTTACATTCCCTGTTTCCAGAAAAACACTCATCTGAAAATCTACAAACATTAACTTTTCAAAATCCTTCGGCAACTGGGGACATCCCTGGACCACTCGTTTCACCGTTTAGTTCAAAAGAATTCACTTGTTACTTTTTAAAGCAATTTTTTTTTTTTTAAATCACCACGTTTTAGAGAAGCTGTCTTTTATTTAAAGCATCATCTTTAAATAACGTGTTGTTATTCGTTGTCGTGCTTCAGTACCAATCCTTCTTTTTTCAGAGTTCGCATGAATCAGAAGATGTTCAATCTAAATCTGATGTCCAAACTGAATCCAGAACTTGTTGTAGTTGACGTTGTACAGACTAGATGTGATTTTGCTTCTCTTTAAATGAATCAGAAGAGATCAAAACTGGTTTCAGAAAACCAAATCCTGGTCTGAACAGGATTAACAGAAAACAAACGCTTACTGTGACTTGTCTTGTCTTTCTGTGTCCAGGTGCTAAATGTTCTGTCTGAGTGCATAGAAAAGGAGGGTTACAGTTATGTGGTGGAGGACGACCTCCAGGAGAACCAAGGACCGGACCACGCCCACATTGGCCCCGGACAGAGGTAGCCAGGGGGTGCGACTGGCCCGTTTGGGCTGACTCTCTGGAGAAAGGACTCTGGAGTGATCGAATCCAGTCTTTGCGGTGCACACGCGATCTGTGCTGAATTTCATCTGAGGACGAGCTCCCCCGCCCCCCACCCCCTGCCTGAGGTGATCGAAGCTGTCGCTGGAATGAAGGCCTGCTGGATAGGACGGGACTTTGACCCAACTGTGCAGTGGAGCTGCGTGGATGTATCCAGGAGACTGGACAGAACTGAACCACCGCTTGTCACCTTAAAAATATCCGACCCCGGCCGCGACGTAGGATAGCATCACAACCGACGACCCAAACAAAAGCCAACTTGCAGCAGCAACTAACAGTTAAAGTGTTGCAGGAGACACTTCTGGGTGTAAGGACCCTTCTGTTGGATTCAGTGAATTCTGAGGGCCTGGTACCGAGTCTCCAGAACTAATGCAAAAAGACAGAGCTGGATCAAAATTGTGGGTTTTTTTCCCTAAAAAATGTCCTGTTGCATAGTTTATTTTTAAATGTTCTTTCTTTCAAACTGTTTAGTTATTCTTGATGGAGATTTTTGATCGGAGTGCAGGTTTACTCCTGGATAATTTAATTTAATTTTTATTTTTCTTCCCTAAACTGACAGACGTCCTTGAAAGAATATGAGAGTATTTATTACAATTTGTATTTATTGTTCGAAACCAGTGCTCATCACAACCTTCTGTTACAGCACACGAAAATGTTCACCCACGTGGGTGTACTTTCTTATTCCACCAGAGGGCGCACTGAGCATGCGCAAACATATGAGCTCATTCCACCCCTGTAAAAAACAAAACTGGCCAATGAATTCTCACCTTTGTTTACAATAATAATCCTTTTTTTTCCTTCACTGCTACAAACCTAAGGTTAAATTTCTGGCTCCAAAAGCCAGAATGTGACACTACTTATTTTAATTTTTATTTCTTTGTAATGTATTTGATGTCCAAGATGTTGCTGTTGTGAACAGCGTTATTTTCAAGGATGTATATTTCATTCCTCTCCAACAGCCGACAGCTGTTGGTGTCAATCATCAGTCGCTGGGCTGACAGTTAATATATACAGTAGGAAAAATCTAGTGCCTGTGCAATGATAGAAATACTTGAATGTCTGGTTTCATAGCAGAAAGGGTACGAGCTATAGATATAAAGATAACAGATGTCTTCATACGTGTACGTGCTGACTTCTTGGGTTTTATATTGGGTTTTATTTGACGCGTTTAAGTTCCTGTAGTCCTGTCGGTATCAGGGCATTCATGGATGTATGGGGCAATCCACCTACAACCAAAATGCTTCTTCTTTTTAATGTTGGCTAATTGTTTCTGTGGGTTTTATTTTGTATTTCTTTGCAACATGGTAACAGTGCAATAAAACAGAATAAGCATCATGTCAGAGTGGACGTGTGCTCCTGGTTTACTGCAGGCGTGAGACGAACACAAGTAAAGGTAGGTGCAGAGAACTCTCATGCATGTTCAGCGCAAGAGGAATTTCCACAATTAGTTTTAACTTCACATCATGATTCAATTCAATTCAACCTTTATTTAAACAGATAAGTCACAATGAGCCTCGAAGACTCGTTTACAAGTGAGACCTGTTTGGACAGACGATAAAAAGTGGTGAAAAATGACACATAGGGTTTGGAGACAACAACAAAAATCCTAACATGCTTTTAATCTTTGGTTGAAGGTCAACAGTGTGATAATGAAAAAAAAGTCTCGCACATAAGCACATATTGACGCCGACAGTCCACGGGGGGGACGGGGACGCAAGGACAGGGACGCAAGGACGGTGAGCAGCGATGATCAGTGAGAGTTTTAACAATTGAAGCAACTCAAACTTAGTATATAAGAACTTTTGTAGAAATAATGTGAAGTTATCAGGAGGCCAAATTATTTGATGTATAAATACATCCTGGTTTTGCTTGCATGGCAGTGTGCACATTTAGCATAAATCCTTGTTCAAAATGTATTGAAACTCTCAGAAATAAATTCATGCCCATACTGCTACAACTGATTAACTCCTGGAGTCAGCTCAATTCAAGATGGCTACCATAGAAAACACAATTTAAATATGGCTAAAACTTATTCAGTTTTATTGATATTGTGTTAAAAAAAAGAGTCAACCCCAACAGAGACTCTGAGCTCGAGCTGGTTGTGTGAGGAAACTTTGTTAACTATTAGTGAACTGATATCTGTCTGTTAGCAAAATATCTCATGAACCTCTGGACCAATTTAAATGAAACCTTTCAGATGTTGTAATTGGGTGTACATCTATAAATGTTTAACATTTGGGGTAAATTCTTTTAAAGATGGCTGCCACAGGTAACCAATTTGATCAAGCACATAAATAGCTCTGACTCCGTCAGTTTCATAGATTTTGAGCTAAAAGTTGGTGTGGTGGTAGCAGAGAGTTATTTCCAACAAACGCTCTGAGCACTAACAAATCAGGTAAGATTTTTGTTTAAAACATTACCAAAAACTATTAGAATCAGCTCCACTTGTCTGTTAAAAAATATTTTATTAACCACAGGATGAATTTTAAAGAAACTTTTAAGATATTTTTATTGGATGTACCTCTACCAGTGATTAACTTTAAGAGTCAACTTGTTACAGTGAACCTTAGGGAACACATAAAGAGCTATACTGTAGAGCAGCAGTGAGTATTACAGAGTTGGAGCAAACATTTTTAAGTAGTACTAGCTAATCCAGAATACATATATATATATATATGTATATATATATATATATATATATATATATA